TCCGCTTATTTCCACCTCTCGAGTATTGCAACACGCCCCTTCTCTCTCACCTGGATTTCACAGGCAACTTCTTTCGGGCAATAAAGTATAGCCGCTATAAAAACTGAGAACATGGGTTACGGTACTAACATTCAGTCTGGCCGCAGAAGCCAAGAAAAAGCGCGAACCATCAGAAGGCGTTTTTTCAGCTGAAACGTTTCTTCCACACTCTTTAGTAAAAGATGTTTTTGGTAAGTAAATCTCATCATCTACTGGATAATAAGTATTTTTGCAGCCCAAACGTGACGTGTTTGCTGTACAGGTCTGATAAACAATAGTCGAAATATGCGCTTGTCGACTTCGTGTAGCTACACAAATAGAGAACCAAAATGGTCGTAGACGTTAGAGAGAAGAGTATGCTAATTGCCATCAAAGTAAGAAATAACATATCATTCTGCACGAAAGCCAATTAGGAAGTGGCATATTGTACTTCAAAAAGCCTTCAATAGGCTCTTTGCCGTATAAATGTCTACTTGGTGTTGAAAATATGTTTGTCGGGAAACCTAAGCCAAATTAGACCCTGAAACTGTGTCCTTCATATTTTCAGCTATCCCAGTAACATTTGCAGGAAAAAACTGAGGGTTTAACTAAAATATGTCTTAGTAGAATATCTCGATCACTTTAGAAGTTCGATCACACATCATGTGATTAAGCGATCCATAAATACAAGAATGATTGGAGAACTCACACAATTATCTATACAGCTTCTCATCTGACCGTTTACTAATGCTGCTCAGCTATATGCTACACAAAACTTGATAGGACCACCAGTAGACCACTTTCAAGGATAAATAAAGGCGGAATGAATTCACTGCAAGTGGTCTGAAAGTTTCAAGGACTCCTGAAAAGCAGGTTGTGTCTTAAGAAATAAACTCATGAATCAATCATCCTAAATTATGAATTCATCCCTTCTTTTACGCGTGAAGTGCACCGAAAGCACAAGACCCCAGAAGTTACTATGAGCGCATTGAGTCTCGTTCTATTATCCAAAGATGTTTAAATCTATCCAGTCGTTAAAACAGCTAAAAATGCGCTTGCCAATTGCAATGGACACTTTTGTGTATTAATTATGTAGGTGCCTGAACTGATGCTACAAAAACCTACACGTAACCCTTTGCAAAAAAATATGAATGAGTGCCAAGCTAGATAGTTTTGCAGTCTTACCTTGTTGGTTTTCCGATCTGTAAGTCCATCGAATAATTTCGGTTCGTACTTCGAGGGCTTCAACGAATGGTTCATGTCAGAAACTAAGGCGACATGCTTTGGTTTTCGTGGACATGTGACCTTTACAATTAACGGACACTTTTGAATAATTTTATACAATCTAATTCAGGAATTAGCGCTTGATAACTTTGTTTATTGCCCGTGATATTGCAGCTTTCATGTGAGTTAAAAATGTCATTTGATTAGCGGGCTAATATGTAATTATGCATTTACACCCCCCCCCCCTCCGATATACACACATATTCCATTCCTAAAATGCAGATGATGCGCAGTTTTGCACAGGGGAAGTAGCAAACATTTCTTCATGATATTGCATGAATATTAACAGAATGCTATCGACATTCAAACAACCATAGGCAACGGTAGGGCGTGCGAACCCTACTAAATTGAGGTAGCCTGCGGACTGTTCTGTATACGGCAGCTACATAGGATTTTAAAGCCTACCGCTACCTTTTCTTGAACCTCTGGCTAAATGTAAACTTGAGGGTGGCAGTTAATCTGAGTTCCGTTTGTTTTTAAATCTGTGTTTCGTTTGTTTCTTTGATTATCGCGCTCACTTTCGTTGACATATGAGAGCTTAAGAAAAGACTTTCGACAACAATTTAATTATTATTAGTGTTTTCCTGCATTCCGCCTGCTCTCCGTCCTGCGTTTTGCCTCACCGTAAAACTCCCTCTACCCCAATTCCTGGATGACATGGTCCACACGCTACCTAAAGTTAACTTGGATCATACACCCTACCGTTTCCCGATTATAGTTTCTTGATGCGCATAAGTTAACTACCTATGGCATCACTAAAAAATTATGAGTATCTGATTTGTGACCAGATTTTCTAAATATACTTAACGATTGCACGATAGAATCAGCAATTTTACCTGGATAAAACAGCAAAAAATGCGAATTAGACTATTATCCATCTTCTTTTCCCATTCGAAAACTTGATTACATTTTCGTTTAGATGTCTGCACAGTCGAGTTTGATGGACTTGGAAGTGGTCACTGACGCAAACCAAACGTGTGCATCGTCACCAAAGACAATGTCACTGGTTCCGAAATCCCTAGTCGAAAAG